TCCGTCGCATCCGTTGCGTATGCTTTATGCTCTAATATATCTGATGCAAGGCAAAGTTATGCAGTGCAGTTTAAAAGGCTCACCTTTACGTTGTCTGACTTCATCTCTGCTTCTCCATAAAGACCTTTCATGAAGCCTGTGGTGCGAATTACCTGAAAAGAAGGCAATAATGAAAATTAATTGATGCCATTTAAAACCCACTGCCTTTCTACAATTATTTAAAGGGCAGTTCAGTTCACACGTTCGAAATGAAGCAGCAAAACAAATACACAAATAATCAGCCCAGTGGAGTCTAGCATGACAGTGAAGGCCTGCATCAATAATGCATATAACCAGAGCTGAAAGCTGAGCTTAAGCACAGAATGAAAGAAAGCATAGAGGAAAAACAAATTCCAGCACACATAATGCCGAGAGGTAGGCAATGTTCTGGAGTGCAGACTGAATGCAGCCAAACTTTCTATAGTGAAGACGACGATGTAGCTCACATGGAGGTGCCATGAGTGAAAGGACTGAGTGCCCTTTCCAGGGATGTCTTAACCAACGTGAGTGGTGTGTGTGATGTACAGTTATGCTTCTGTCCTCCCATACACTTTGTGCCAGCTTGGCTAATCTTGGCAGACCTTTTAGTATCTAAAACTATCTTTGGATTTAGGGAGAAAGAGCCACTGAACAACCTACCTCGGCCTTCACAGTCCTCCAACGTTATGTATTGCTATGACTACTACTTGTCTCATTCTTAAGCCACAGAGGTGTACTATTAGAGGTGGGCGATATGGCAAAATGTCATATCTCCCAATTTCAAGATGTTTTAACGAAACACGTTATGTCACAATATTTATTCTGACATCTGATATGGTAGAACACACAAAGTAAGCCAACATTTCAAAAATACTAATAAAAACTATGCATTCAATTATTTGTATTCAACACTTTAAACACTGTGCTACACCAAATCCAGTTAAAAGGACTAACTATACTCTCTTTGTAATCAAACATGCAGTTGGTAAGGGTTTTTAAGTAATATAATCATACTGCCCAGCCCTATACACTATATGTCCAAAAGTATCCAGCCATCTCTTTTAATAAGTGCCGCTTTAAGGTGCACCCATTGCTGACATGGCATTCAAAGCTATTCATCCAACATCAGCACTTGACCTCGCCAATGCCTTTGAGGTTGAATGCAATTAAATCAGCATCTAGGAATGTAGCATCTACTGTAAAGTCTTCCCAGAAGAGTAGAGGCTATTACTGCAGCAAAAGGGGATAAACTCCCGATTAATAACTTTGATTTCAGAAGACACGTTGGATGAGCAGGTGTTTACAAACTCTTAGACACACAGTGTACAATTTAAAAACGTGTAATTATGCCAGAATTATTAATCTTAATTTTGACTCTGTACCGCGGTTAAACGTCAAGTGTAGACGAAACAACGGTAACAGAAGAGAACTTGGTAGGCATTTATATACATTATTAACATATTAAATTGATAACATATTTTTGGGTTATAGCTTGTTGTCCTTTTGCGTGTTCCTGACTGTCGTTCTGGCCATCAGGTCTAGTACATTTCCACCTGTGCGGCCAGGTAAGTGGATGACGGACCATGTAAGCGCACATAAGGCCTTTTTGGTTTGTTTGCATAATCAAAGCTCAGCGAGGTGCCTGGCAACAGAGAGGCGCTAACAGAACAGAGAAACGTCCCTCAACTTCTGCTCCAAAGCCTACAACAGCACATGGAAAACAGCCCAAGAGTTAAAACGGGGAGTTTCCTGTTCACAGTGTAAGAAGTGCAATGAACAAATAACTTATGGAAATCCCGAAATGCTGACTTAGACACCACCAAGTTAGTTAACAGTTACCAAGCCAGCTAGCTAGCTAGCTTGCTATCGTGATATTGCTATATAACTTAGCTGTAATACAGCAGGTGCAGCCGCCTCCTATCACCTTAGTCCACTAACGTTAATCCAAATCTACAATTCGCCAGTACAGAGCTCAAGAGAGCTTAGTAGATCTGCTAACCGTTAGCTTTGCTGCTGGGTATCTGGACAACCTGAGGCAACGTTAAAAGCTAGCTAAAGTACAAGATGTTCACTCAAGAAGCGAAACCAGCTAAAGCTCATTTAATTTAACTACCAACTTACTCTTTATTCTGTCGACAAACACATTTACGAGCGGTTCACTTCTCGACTCACCTCGCTGAGTATATCGTGCAGGTATCGAAACGGCGGCTTGCTGAGCAGTTTTTCAGTCAGAGGCGGCTTCTTTATCACTTTCCCCAGAGTTTCCTGGGTCTTTTTGGCCACCGAGCCGTTCATGGCAAAACCCTGCGGTCTGCTCTTCGACCCGAACGCCCGTCTTCAGAAATATATGGGCAATTTACAGACCCAAAAACTCCAAAAGCGATAGATTTACAATCACTGAGCTGCTCTCGTTTGTTGCTGTGTCAATAGCGTTCGATCCCACAATGCTTCGCTTCATTGTTGTGCGCCTGCGCAGAACCTGCGTGGTTGTCAAGGGCAGTAAATATCCATGGCAACGGCTAACAACTGCGGGCTTGCATATTCATTTTGTATTTCGGTTTACATGACAGAATTACAGAAGTTTGAAATTTTATGATTTATTACACAACAGCTTATGGAAGTTAGGTTGAATGTTATGAGCAGCCAAATAAATAGGCTAATGTGAAATGACTGCTAGGCCTAGACTGAATCTCAAGTACCTCCCTACACACAGTGCACTTATTCCATGACTTTTATAGTGCATTATATGTCGAATTAAAGCCATTTATATTCAACCACAGCTAAACGACTCCCTGTCTAACATTTAGTGCACTGTTTTTGGTTTAGAAGCTAGAGTTTCATGACCTATGTTGTGCAATATAGGAAACCATATGAGGTTCAGCCCTGGTCTGTGAATCAAAGAGTGAAGAATTTGAGAATATGATCAATAGACTGCACATACTTAATTATTACACTTCAGTATTAATTTGGATGTCCAAAAAAACTTTTTTACTACTTAAATTTTCAAAATACTTGTTATAAATCTCAAATACCATGAGATTCCTTTTCTCTCCAAACAGTTTTTGTTCATTTGAACTTCTTGTTTTTATTAAAATATCTAGCCAAAATTCATATCACTGTAAAATGAAACTGCCCACAGCTATGCCAATTTGTATTGATGTAAGCGCCAGTAACCACCAATTATTTATTACGCCATACAACACTAGATTGCAAAACACCAAGCAAAAGACATATTTGTTGAAATTTGCACTTTTTATTATCACGTATGTGTTTAAATATTTAAATGTTAATACTTTTTTTTTACTTTTACTCAAGTATATTTTTGGCCTACAGCAACTGCATTCACATCAAGTTTAAGTATCTATAACTTAAGGCTGTATGAGTGAATAACAGCCATGACAGAGACAGAGCCATGGAAAATGAAAGGACTTCTGAGTAGAAATGACTTGTTCACTAAGCATCATTAACTGACTACTACAAAAGCAAATACGTTTCTCTGTTTCTCTCTCTCTAGATTAATCTAACATCATCGCAGCTCATACACAGTAGCTTATGTCCTCACACTTGCTAATCAAAACCATTTGCACTGCTCCTGAGAACGCTAGGTACATGTCCAAAGTGAGAACTCATTGCAAGGCACTCCCTGTCTTACACTTCACTGCCCCTGCTGAAATCAGGTTTTCTCACACATTGACACACCCTAAATATTCTGTATGTTCCATTGACAAAGCTACAGACAGTGGAGGAAAACTATGCTTTTATTTGGTCCCAGCCAGTTCGACAAGTTCTCTGAACTGGTTTATTGCATATTCTGTGCATTGCCAACAAACAGAGAAAAACACACACTCTTTCTTTCATATTATCCACATGCTTGCTATTCAAAATCATATGCACTGCTCCTGACTAGGGATCTTTTAGTTGTAAACCCATGTAACATGATACGTAATCTGTTAAACTTTGCATGTAATGTCAGTTTGGTTTAATTGCTGTACATCACTGCCACTGCTGAAATCTTTTGAAAGTATGCTAGATACACATCCAAAAGCATCCAGACATTACTTCTAATTTCAGGACACAGTTTACATGATCTCCATAGAAAAGTACTGCTAACTTCACTAATGCTCTTGCAGTCAAATTTTCTAAAAAGCAGCAAATAACATACAGCAATTTTCCAACATCTAGTATAAAGCCTTCATTTAAATATAAGATACTCCATTTGCATATGGAAGAGAAAGTCAAAGAAAACTAAGTGAAAAATCAAAATTTTCCAAAACAGGATAAAAAAATAATAATAATGGGACTCCTAACTACCATGTAAGACTTGGTAGCCCACCAAAGCTGTCACCATCAGATAAACAGCTCTTAATTCAGAAAAACACTAATATTAGATTAAATTTGTTTAACCACATCATCACAATAATTTCCAAATCTTTCCTTAAGGGAGCTTAGTAAGATTTGTAGTTACCTACCAATACCTGGTTTGGCTAACCAGTTTTTCATTTTGTTAAATCAAGCGTGCTCATGATGGAATTTAATAAATCCTTGTGATGGTTTTGGGCATCAAAGAGAAATTTGGAAGCAAACATTGTTCTTTAAACTAGCATATTGGGACATATAAGGACATACTGTGTTTTTTTTACAAGCACAAACACACTTCTTCCCAAGATAAATGGTTTTGAATAATGTGATTGATGCCTAAGACTTTTGTAGAGTACTACATGTTTACTGCTTTTTATCCTGACATTGAAAAATAAATAACCTCTACTTTGTTTTAAATGGGAATTAAATAAATGAAAAGTGGTCTCTGACTTTTACACAGTGATGTAAAATGTAACTACAATGCATTATAGTGATTATTATCATTATTTTTATTGTTATCATTATTATTAAAAATGAATAGGAGATTAGGGGAAAATGAATAGTGGGAGGAGAAAGTTTCTAGCTGTATACTCATATAAGTGGATATTCTTCAGACCTGTTTGGTGGGTTTCATAGCTATAAGTACACCTGCATGCCAGTGATCTGCTGTCAGATTGGAGAGCAGGACAACAAATCTGGTTTAGCCGTTTCACTCTCGGTAAGATTTGTTGCATTTTGTCTTATTTAAATTGAATTGGCTTAGTGTAGGTAAGTGTATATGTAGGCTTAGACTTCAGCTGCTTATTTAGCATAACTTTCAGGGATTGTGTGAACTTGGAAATCTGTGTTTAAGCGCCATATCAACTCGATTACATCTCGTCTGAGAAAGCAAGAAAATGTTTAAGGAAACTCTGAACAAGAAAAAAAGCACTGAGATAAAAACTGATGATACTTTTATCAGCCTGTTTGGACATCTGTTAGCGTGAAATCCTTAATTATGTACAGTCTACTCAATATTTTGCTCAAATTAAAACCTAAAGTAAAACTTCATTTAAACATTTAGAAAGTCCTTCAGCAAAGAAACTATCGCTTTGAACACTGCAGTTGACGTCTGAGTAAACCAGTTAGTCGTGTCTGACAGCCTTGTCACCGAGACACCTCCTCTATTTTTAAGCAGCCCTTGGCAGAGCTAGCTTAACAACTACAGGCTGATATGTGAAGGGAACATGGACCTCATCTAGAAACCAGACAATGCTGGTCATATTTGGTCTGTGCAACACAAAAATGAACTGTCTGTCTGTCTAACTTTCACAGTGGTCATGGCCCGCTGGTGTCTGTATGCATTATTCTTCTTGCTGTCCTGTGATGTTTCCATGCAAAGAAAAAAGAAAACTGTCCAGACTCTCTCTCGAGGTAAGATAATGTCAACTTTTTTTTTTTTTTAAGTTTTACTTTACAGTAAGATTACCCTTATAAGTGGTTTATAAATGGTTAAAACAGTGAGCTGTGTGTCTGATGAATGTGATGAAGCTGGCAGGTATAATGCTGACTGAAGAGAAGAGAAATGAGAAGAGAAAGTGAGGAAAGTAACTAGAAATATTGGATGTTTAACAATATAAACAAATGTTCACTATTTAGCAAGCAACAGGTCACTGTTTCGCTTATTATTTATGTGTTATAACTGCTCATTGATGATTTTAAAGTGTTTATGACCTATTCATAACCATTAACAAAGTCATTTTAAACCATTAAACCAAAATGCTTCATGAAGATAGTTTTATTGTAAAAAAAAAAATGGGGTTGAATGACTTTAGGCATTTATCTATATCTTCTATAATTTCATTTCATTTTAAAATATAAAGAGCAGGTATGTCATCACAGACATATTTAGAAATGTCTTTTATTACTTATTTACTAAATATCTGACCTCACACATGTGGAATGACCATTCGTATTCCTGGACAACAAAAGGTGTGGCATAGCTTTTTTTCTTTAATTTTTTATATGTGATTCAGTTGGACTCTTCCATTATTTCAGGCTGGGGAGATGAGATCACCTGGGTTCAGACATATGAAGAAGGGTTATCAAAAATGAAGGAAAGGTATCAATTTTAGCTGTCATATCCAACTGTGAAATCACTATTGTTTCCACCCTTCTGTCTCAGGTGGGTAGATTATACGATAATGGTAATGGATGTGTATGCTTTTTATTTTATCACCACAGCAACAAGCCTTTGATGGTCATCCATCACTTAGAAGAATGCCCACACAGTCAAGGTTTGTAACCTTTCTGTATTTGTTTCATTATGCTGATTTCTGTATACAGCTGATATATAGCCATCATTAAAACTAATGCTGTCAGATGTCATCATATCAGATGCTAACATGCTAACTACTGAGGGTATCTGATCCATAAGTATCTGTCTTGTAGCCAGATTTCTAAATATAGATTATGCCTAAATTAAGACTACAAAAGGAGTATCATTGGAGATTGAAGTGCTATAGACAATCCACTTTATTACAGACACCTACCTTTTACATTCACTCACTAGCCACGATATGAGCTTCACCCGGTTCCATATACAGGAGTACAACAAACAGACTGTAGTCCATCTGTTATCATGAGCAATTTGTCAGCCATCTTCTTCCTCTTGGTCAGTTTCTGACCACAGGGCCACTGCGACCAGGTATTATATGGGTCGTAGGCCATTCTCCACAGTGACACTGTCGTTGTAGAGTGTGTGGTGCTGGTACGAGTGTATCAGACATACCAACATGCTGGAAGTTTTACATTCATCAGTGTCACTGCTAGGCTGAGAGTGGTCAACCTCAATGATCCAGTGATTGGTAACTGACCACCGATTAAAGGCTAGAGCCAGGGTTCCCAAGTCTGCTGTTGGTAATCTACAGTTCTGTGGAGTGTTTTGTTCCAAACTTAATCTAATACGACTTAATCAAGGCCTTCAGGAGCATCTGAATATTACAACCTAATGTGTTGGAACTAAACTCTCCAGGGCTTTAGATCTCTAAGACTGCACTTGGGCACCCTTGAGGTAGAGGATGGCTAACACAAACTGTGCATCAACATATGTGCTATAGCCTCTAACTGTACACCAGCCAGGGAACATGAAAGGTTGGTGTTTCTAATAATCAGAGACCAGTTTCCCAAAAGCATCTTGGTGCTAAGATCATCTTAACCGGTAGAGAGAGTGTTCATTGTGAGGCTTGCTCTACCATTTAAAAATCTTTGTGCTAAGATGCTTTCAGGAAACCCAGCCCTGAGTAATTAGCACTATATGTGGAATATCGATGTTTGGATGTAATTAGTACCTTATAATTTTCCATGTGTTTGTTTGTGGGCCACATCAACATGTTACAATGCTGCTGCTTGTCTAATACATGCTTTTGTTTTTCTTAATTTTACACCCAGCTCTCAAAAAGGTTTTTGCTGAGAACAAAGATGTTCAAAGGATGGCCAAATCAGATTTCATCATGCTCAATTTAATGGTAATATTCATATTATTGTCCTTTGAATGGTGTCTAGTAATATAGTTCATGAACAGTGTAGCTGTAGAGTTAAAGGGCTCATATCATGGGATATGAAAATTTGGAAGAGTTTGATTTAGGATGTAAACATTGTTTACATTTCAAAATGTACCATTCACTCACAAGTCCATAAAGTTTATGTATGGACATCTGCAAAAACAGCCTGTTTTGGAGTCATTATGTTTGTGATGTTAAGAAAACCAGCACAATCACACATATCTTTCTATTCAGTCTACAGCAGTTTAATCCTGCCCGAGCCAAAGTTATGAGGACTGTTTCAGCCCTGTCTGCTTTTTGAATGTGGCAGAGGAGCCACACAGAACAGAGATCATTTACATATACTAGTCCTTATGGCACAATAACAAAAATAGGCTGTTTAATTATAAGGGATAAAGATATGAAAGAAAATGGTCATGTAAAAGTAAGCTATTAATATGAACCACAAACATCATAAATGGACCTTTGGCGGGAAAAAAGTACAAGACAAATGCATCAATGAATCAGATATGCATTAATGTCAATAAAGCAGTTTCTGATAGGTAATGTCATGCATTTTCTAACCCAGCCTAAATATTATTTGCAGCATGAGACAACAGATCGTAATCTGGCTCCTGACGGCTATTACGTTCCCAGGATTCTCTTTGTTGGTGAGCACCTCCAGATAGTAATACCAATTTGCAGAACAGAATACAGAGACTTCATTTTTACTGAGAAACAATACTTCATTTCACTACCCTGACTGATTTTATCTCTTCTGTTGTCTCTACATTTTTCTAAATATCTTCTTCTTCCCAGACCCCTCTATGACTGTGCGTACTGACATCACTGGCAAGTACCACAACCGCAAGTACACCTATGAGCCTGACGATGTGGACTTCTGTGAGTATCTCATTAGTTCTGTTGAGAGGCCACTGATGTATTGCTGCCTAGCACCTATATAGCTCGACTATCACCCACCCTATTGCAGAGCTCCCATGGGCAGCTGGCACAGCCTAACTGTGTTATTAACATGCCCTTTTCAAACAGAGATCTGTCTAATGTGGATCAAACCCAGGATCATAACCATCAAACTTTAAACTATGTACATGAACTAGAGGGAACTGATACTAGATAGGAGCTAAAATACTTTCTATGCTCTCGCTGGCCACTTTATTAGAAACACCTACATTGCTGGAGTACAGTAAGGGACTGTAGGCCGTCTGTTGATACTTAATTTTTGTTAATCAGTTTCTAGCCTTTCAGTAGTGGTCAGGTTTTGCTCTTGGCTCTATGATGGAGCACTCTTAATCTTTTCAGTGTCACTGCTGTGTTGATGATGGTCCACCAGCTAAATAATATCTGGTCAACAGCAGTCCTGTGGTCAGAAACTGACCAATGGGGTAGAAATCAGCTGACAAACTTTTCATGACAACAGATGAGCAATGAGCTACAGCATTTTATCCTTTAGCCACTTCAGTTTGATAGAATTCATGAATTTGTATCCTGTTTATGCTTTAGTCCATCAATGTTCTTTCACTGCAGTCACTGAGGATCCCCCATAGCTATACAGAAATGCAGTGATGCACCACTGGTGTAGAGGCTAATAAATACAGATGTGATATTCCACTTCCTAACAGTCCCTAAACAGCCCGTCACCAAGTGTCCCCTCCAAAGTAGTTGCTGTTTTCCAAAACTTTGTCTCACCTTCAACATACCTCATCAGAAGAGGGTGGTGGTGGTGGGGTTCCTAGGCTTTAAACTGGAAAATCTCACTCTCATGACTATTGTGGCACCACTGTAGGATGCGAGTAGGCATGTTAACAAGATATAGCATAGATAGTCATTTTAGCCAGATTACCCCTTTAATAACATGATGTCTGACTGATTTGTATGTAATTAACCATGATAAGAGATATGACTAATTGTGTCCTCTGTGTTTGTTTGTGTTTAGTGGCGGAGAACATGATAAAAGCCAAGATTCTGCTTCACTCTGAGCTGTAGGAACAGAGCCAGCCACATAGGACATGGACCTGTCACAAACTTGTATGGCCGAAAAAGTTCAGCATCCAAGACTTGAATGGTTGAATTGACTGTAGAATAGACAATTTCAATAAAAATAGGCCCATATGTTTAAATAAACATGTTTTGTGAATATTTGTGAAAACTGTTCAGCGTTTTACATGTTCAGATTTATGCCTATGCCTCTTGATCTGATCAATATATCTCTAGCCAATAGTAGCATGTAGGCAAGATATTAAACTGGCACAGAAAATGCAGCGTTGACTTGAAAAAACATTCTCCCTATAAATGAATATCCATATAAATCTCACATCACATTGATTTAAAAGAATGACTTGACTTAAAACCAACTGCTCAGAGGTGATTTTTGCTGTAACAGTGTTGAGCTTTGACAAAATATGTGCTGATTCACAACAATAATATTTTGAAACAGAATTTATTAAAGAAAATTCCAAACTCTACATTTGATAGTGATCCTTCAGTGTTAAATGAGTACAGCACTGGTGTAATATTTAGATCTCGCCAGTAGGTGGCACTCCAGCATGCAGTACAGCATCCTGAGTTCACTTTTATTTGAAAAACTACTTTTTTAACGCAGACTTAAATTTAATAATATAATTCATCAACAGATTTTTTTTTTATCGACTCAAATATTTTCCTATATTATTATACAAAACAAGAAATCCCACTGCTTATGATCAGGTGCAGACTGCAATATTCTCTAAGAAAGACTAAACATACTGTAATGTAATAAATAACAAATAATGCATTTCAGAGCAGGATATTTTACCATTTAAGCAAATGTGCTTCATTCATTAACCTTTATTAATATGTTGAGATATTGATGATTAATGTGCATTATAATTTCAATTAAGAAATCATTAACAATGGCAGTTCCTTGTGTTATCACTGTAAAGCTAAAAGGTATTTGCCCCATAAAATGTTGTAATATATAACATCTCATTAAGATAATGGTAATGTTAGGCATTGCTGTTCAGAAGGAAAACCTCTGCAGCTCCGCCTCTAGAGGACCTCTGTGAGCAAAGTGGGTTTACTTGTGCTCAAGCTGTGTCTGTCTTCTTCAGCTTATTTTTCCAGTGACTGTAGGTTTATCTATCAAAATATGCTAATTTAATCTTCCAGGTGAGTCATGAGTCACCAACATAGGAGCACTAAGTACTAAGTACACTAATAATGAAAAATACTGTCATTTCAGTTTGGGTGCCTAACATAATCCCCTCAGGCACTTTACTCTAATAGTACTTAGAGTAAAGTTTCCATGAAATACAACAAATCCTCAGAAGACACCAGAATTTTAAAAAGTGTCGATAGTATGTTAAAACCGTTACACACTTAATTAGTATTGGTCCAATATTGGAATTGCAGCCAATAATTCTTAGCTTGCATTGCATGAATAGTCACTGGTATGGGGCATTTACAATGTTTTTAACTCACTAAAAGGGGTAGCACAGCAGAAAACATCACCACCTCACACCATGGAGACCAAGGTTTCTTTCTTCATCCATGCAGGACCACTACTGCTATACTAATAAGAGTGCTTTGGTTAGACTCCTAACGTTAAGGTCATTTTCATGACAAGTTTCATGAAGGTCAAGTTTCACTCCATTTTTTATAATTTTAGATACAGTGAGTTTTTACAAAAAAACAGCTGATGTAAAATGGAAAACACATCAATTTTCTCTAATATAATGATAAAAATTAATCATAATGTAACATTGATATTTCTTATATGTGTAAATCCTAATTCCAACAACATACATAAAAAGATCTTGAAAGTGGCCTATAATGCATTATGGAACCTCAATTACATAAAATAATGTTCATGTTTACAATAATAATCGTGTCTGGTTTATCTGTGTGAGGATGGGTTTTAGAGTTATCTGATGCACTTTAGTTATGGATTATAGTGTGATTGTTTCAAAAGGTGGACAAATAAATTAAAAAATGTTTACATTCATTTTCAGATATTTGTATAGGCATCCACCAAAATAAGATGTTAACCATCAATTATTATTGTAGGTCAAGAAATTCTAGATTATTGCATCAATAATAATAATAATAATAATAATAATAATAATAATAATAATAATAATAAATAGTCGTGACAGTTCTCTTTGTCCATAAACTCATTGTTTTATCTGTATACTTCTTAATTTGTGGTTCTTACAAAACCATTTTATGAAAAGATTTAAGTCTCTGCTCCTGAATCCTGAATTTCTGCTATGGGTGAATGCGTCCACTGCTGTCATGCTAAAGTGTGTGTAGATCATCAGGGAATGCATGAAAGATTTTACCCCAAAAAAACTGTAATAGAGGGACCCCAGATCCCCTTCTGCCACCCTCCGCACCCAACCCAAACTGTAAACTATTACATCCTTGGTGAAAGCCTCTGACTGCAGCCATGCTGTGATCTACTCCTCTGTCCTCCAGCCTCGCTTGCTTGCTGGCCAGGGTCAGCGCGTAATGGAGCGGAGCGGCTCGGTCAATCCTCTGCTGCCACGCTGAATTAATGCTACATGCCTGGTTACGGCTGTGACTGACACTCGCCCTCGAGAACAGTCCCATTAGCCTCTCATAAGAGTCTACTCTCTCCTCGCAACGCCTGGGGTCAGCTAAAACAGTTCTTTACATTTTCATAGAGAACACATACTTTTATGCAATTTAGTTATGATTATCCACACACATAGCAAAGAGTATTGTATTGTAGCATCATTGTGACAGTTGCCAGTTCCTGTGTTCACACAATGGTATGTGATTGATCATACTGCATAACAATATGACCAAGTGTCATGGAGTCAAATAGTCCAACCTACCAGATTGTCTGGAGGTAGGAAAGGTAGCTTAGCAACACTGCCACACCATGGATTCAGCCGTATCTCAGAAATAAAGGGGAGATACATATTTAATTTTTTCTCCTGTTTGGTCACAGGCAACACAACTTTGCAAATTGTGACTACTAGTACTAGTCCACTGTGTGGTTAAGCAGTGAGTACTCAGTTATTCGACTACTTGTGCCCAAGCCTAGTTTGTGTTTGTATGGAAAGTCATGAAGTTGTAAATGCGGATACTGTCATGTCACCAACTACCAGTTGTTTGCATTCAAGTACCCATCAGCAACTGGTAAATTTATCACACGTACCATGTGAATATGTGCTGGGATGGAGCAGTAACACTGCTCACTGCAAAATAAATAAATTAATTAATTAATATGCACTGATTAGTGTACTGTGGTAGTGTGTTAATGTATTTGTATCTTTGACACAGCAACTGTCCTTTACATTGTGTGAAATTTTCATGATGGGTCAATAGAACTTCTCCAAAATTACTTGAAATAAAATTTCTTTTCATTAACTTACCTTAAAAGTATAGAGCGTTTCTGCTTCTCACAGTCCAAGTAATCCCAAACACATTCAGTGATGCTGAGGTCTGGACTCTGGAGTGGTCAGTCCATTGTTCTGAGAACACCAGCAGCTTCTTTGCTTGATTTGTGAATTTTCTTCTTTTTTGTCTATTTCCTTTTCTCATTGACAGCTTCTTGACAGCTACACATCCTTACAGACTCATAGTGTTGAGTTGTCTTCTCAAAGTGGAAGGATGGACAAAAACACCTGTGGATTTTTTTCAGATCTGTAGAAAGAGTGAAGCTTGATTTTCTCCTCTCTCTCAAACACAAAGGCTTTAAAGAAACATTATGTAACAACTGTACCTTTAAACAAGAGCTTCAGAATCATTTTGATGGTACGCTGACTTATGGAACCAATCAGCAAATTGCTACGTTGGACGTCATGTCACTGGAAGGTTCTATGGCCCCCAGCATGGTTAGCCCAATTTTTAAGCATTCCATGTCGAACCATGTCTGTGTGGAAAAGTCACTGGACTGGTTATCTCCATGCTCAGAACCTTTTGACCCCACAGTGGTAAAGACCAATGTGGTAGACCAATGTGACAGGCTCAGTTTATCAGTAGTGGACATCTACTTACCTGTCTACAACATCTACTGTGTAGGAGAGGAGGAGGAGGAAGGGAGGGTGAGGCCAGGAGCAGCAGCAAAGTTTCTGGATGCAGTCCGGGTCTGGAACACCTGCTATAGTGCTATGTAACTTTGGAGGACTGGGCATGAGACCCCTTGCTAGAATGCTTTACAGCTTTACAATGCTTCACATCACACATCAACAACTCAGCTACGAAGTAGCTCAGTATTCCCAGTATGGATATCATAGCAGAGGCTGCGTAGAGACCAAAGAAGTTGTCAGAGGAAGCGAGGAAGAGAATAAGAGAGAGTGACCGTGCAATAGACTGGACAAGAGTAAATTTTGGACTGGCTTTTACTCGTTGGCGAGAGCTAAAAAAAAGTGATAAAAGAATGCAAGACAGCCTCATAGCTAATAGGAAAACAACGAAAATCAGAGCATACATCCCTGCCAATGTTATTTATTAGAGATTGCAATATAGGCTGTACACTCATCTGTGTCTTCCCTGCCTCACAGAGTTTTGTAGTTTTTCCAGATGTGAAAAACTAATCGGACCTTACTCCCATTTCAGGCTAGTATGCAAAGAAATAAAGTCATCTCATGGCAAAAAGTTTAGGCAGTGTATGTCAAAGTCAGTCTTTGTCTCACCAAATAAGACTTGAAAGTTTGCAGCAACCTGTAATATAATCCTGTAATATTACTCTACCTTGTAAGTTGACATAGTGCTTTCTTTTCTGATGTTGTCTTTGCTGGTGTTATGCAGAATTCTGTCTCACAGCAGAATCTGACTCCCCTTAGCATGCACGTGCATCACACAGGCATTTGGGTGCTGTAGATTACACTCTCGATTTCTGTCATTTACACATAGAAACAACTGAAAACGCAATTGTAATCTGTAGCATCCATTTGACTGTGTGATACACATGTACGTGAAGGGGAGTCGAATTCTGTATCCTTCAGCTCATTAGCAAATGCACTTGTACAGCTGTCCATGAAGTGCCTCAAAGCGAAATTTGTATTTACAACAGTGGTGTAAAAACGAAATATACTCTGCAACTGTAGGGGGAGAACAAGAGCAAACAATAACAATTCTCAGTTATGTGATGGTGATGGTTTTGGTAGTCTACTAGGTCTTCATTGTTGGTAGGAGTCACATTTTCTCTGTAGCTTTAAAAAACATTTTTTTTTTCAGTTTTTCCCTTTCTTTATGCAAGTGGATTCTATATCTTTTATATCTAATCTCATAAATATCTCCTGAAAAATTAATAACTTTTTCTTAAAGTGTAATAAATGAAGCTTGATCTCTTGCTTTTGTATAGACCTTTATCTGGTGCAATGACAAAGTACATCAGACTTCATTAAAAATTATTGTATCCACATTTAAAGAAATTACATTAATTAAGGTCACGAATTTCCATGAAACAGTATGCATACAGAAAGTACACTGTAAAACAGAGTGATTATTGGAT